ACCCTCGCCCACCCTCGCGTACCCTCGCCCACCCTCGCCCCCTCACACACCCTCGCTCACAATCGCCTACTCTCGCCCACCATGCCCACAAATGCCCAATTTTCGATAATAATGTATTCAAAATAAAAAGAATATATGAATTTAAAATGAACATTAATCGCTGTTTTAGGACTACTTTAGGGCTGTTGTGACCACTAGCTAGTTTGTCCCTACGTTGGTAGATAACTTCATGAATGGCAAACAAATCCTCAGTACAGCATAAATTCTAGACACAAATACAAAAGATATATCTGCTACACACCATAACGATGTACTTTTTTTGTGATTGGAATGGGGTCGTAACAAATTGGAAGTAAAAGGTGATAAAAGCCCTTTTATCTTGAATGATCGAGTATGTTTAAAGAAACAATGGAGCGAATTATGAATTCTTATCAAGAAAGGGATAACTCAAGTTTTGATCAACCCAGTTATCAATCATAACGAACATTATTTATCAGACGGATTGCATCTTTGAACAGCGCTAATCGTTTACCCATTCTCAAAATAAACGAATTGAAAACGGATTTTGATCGAAATATGGAAGTTCTTCGTGTTCTTTGCTTTTATTGACACACACACACACATATATACATACGCACACACATGGATATACACAAACTGTTGTTTTTTATTCCATTTCACACAGTCTTTTTTTTCATCTGGAAAGATAAAGGTATAAGGAGCTAGAATATTAGATGGTAAAAATAATACATTTCTTCGGAATTGAATTGACCGGAATGATAATATCGTGAAAACAAAATAGTTTTTGTGATGTGGAAATAAATTGTGTATTAGGTGTACTTTCTTTAAAACGTTAGTATCACTTTTAATATAATACATTTACAAACATCTGAAGACATTACACTTTAAAATTTTACGAGAAAATATTGATTTGGATAGACTGCATGCACACAATTCTACGAACAAAATCTTAACGTCGCTTGCTAAAATAACATAACATGCTAAAATACTACTAAATAAAGTACATTACGTCTTGCATTCATCAGTGCTTTCTAACGTCAACTAGGATACCAACAAAAAGCAAGCAGAATCACTTACGACACCTACTTGTGTGCAATTATGTGGAATGTTTTCGAGAATAAAAATATCTGTTGTAGCCACAAATGCAGTGGACATGAGACCGCAGCGACAAACGAAGATGAAACATTAAAATGATCTGTATAGTTTTCTAAAATGAAACTATAATGATTTCCCTTAAGTTACAAAAATTTTTTTTAGGCATGAAATGTGATGA